TGCTAACACCAGCTTTAGTCACTAGCCTCTCCAATACAAAAGCCAGCTTATCCATGTTAGTCACTAGCCTCTCCAATACAAAAGCCAGCTTATCCATGTTAGTCACTAGCCTCTCCAATGCTAACACCAGCTTATCCATGTTAGTCGCTAGCCTCTCCAATGCTAACACCAGCTTATCCATGTTAGTCGCTAGCCTCTCCAACGCTAACACCAGCTTTTCCATGTTAGTCACTAGCCTCTCCAATGCTAATGGAGCTCTCCTTCTCATTTGCCAGTGCTGACCTCTCAGTTATCGGTGCCGGCTTATGCTTAATCAGAATACTGTAGATATGGCCTCCTGCTACAAGGATATATSAACCGCTGGTTGAGCAATAGTCTAGATTTTGGCCATCATACTGTGCTATAAACTTAAGCACAGTAAATCCATCTGATGGTTTATTAGATACAGAGCTAACAGATAAAGAARGTTGACGACAAAAGGTTTTGTTGTCAATGCTGGTAATCAGATGGGTGTTTTTCTTCTTAGACAACCAATTGGTTAAAGAACTGAATTCATCTGAATGTCACAAAATGCATCTTTTTAAATCTGCTTCAACTCACACTGAAGCAACAAGCAAAAAGGAACCAATACATATTTCTAAATCACAGAATAAGAGAGTTCAGCAGAAATTTTTGAATTACACCAGGAAACCCAAAAGCTATCGAGAGCCAGCCCAACGCTCGTGCTCCCACCGCTCTCTCTGAAAGCCTCTGAATGATGGCCCACATACATCACAATCATCCCTTTCTCGCGTCTCCCTGAGTCAGCTCATTTCCCCTCACCTGCTACAACATGTGGTGTGAAACTAGAGCGGGTCTATTAAGGATAACAACTCCACAAACGCTGTGACTCAATCGAGGAGGTGCGCGAGGTGAGCTGTGAAATAAGGTCAGTGAAATAATGGAGGGGTGTTAGGGGACGTAGGCAGAATTCCTGACCCATTTACTGAGATGGAGCCATAAAAAATAATAATAATAAAAAAAGGGTTTGTATTCTTTGAAGGAGTCTGCTTCTGAATCCATCACGTTGCAGCGCTCGCTGCCARCGTGGTGCATTCTGGATTTAGATAAGAGCGAAAATTATTATTAGGCTGTTTTGTGATGAGAATGAATAGCAGGGAAATTAAATGTTTTGCTGTATAAAACAGAAATTCTCCAGAAACAAGAATGCTGTCATGATAAATAAGGTTTTTTTTATTGTTTTGTATCTTTAAAGGGATAGTTCAGTCATTCGCTTATCCCGGACATACTCTGCGCTTTATAACTGTCACCACTCATWAGGTCTTAATTGTGTTTTTCTTTTTCTTTCACAACCATTCATGAAAACTTAAAGAGCAAAAACACTCAAAATACTGCACMGTTAAAAGATGAGCATTTATTTATAGAAAACATAAATATTTCATAATGATGTGGACCGTGTTAGAACTGTACGAAGCGGCACTCCGTCTTGTCACTGTGATTAAAGTAGTGCAGATCTCAGGTGGCTTTAGCCCAACACAGTTCTTCTCATTAGGTGTGCCTCTGGAAGTTTGTGATTTATTGGTTGCGAGCGTGAACAACATACCTACAGCGCAGCGCCTCATGTCTGGTCCCAGCTCCATGCCGTCAGGACAGGCACAGGTGTACTTCGGGGAGTGGTCTGTGATCTGAGGGGCCTTCAAGCAGAGATACTCACAGCCACCGTTGGGTAGACTGCCCATGTTGCAAGTGTCAGGAGCTTGGAGGACATAAAAATAAAAAAATAATAATAATTACAGCGGGTAAAATAAGTATTGAACACGTCAACATTTTTCTCAGTAAATATATTACTAGAGGTGCTAATGACATGAAATTTTCACCAGATGTCGGTAACAACCCAAGTGATCCATACATACAAAGAAATCAAACCATAAATGTGCTATGTATTTACATCCATTGCCGCCATGTTTGTAATGACTTATCGCGAGAACAAACGTATTCACGTGTGACTTTAATAG